CGAGAAACACTACACTTAACCCTTAACTTGACAGCGTACATCACACTGTACATACATTTAAAAAAAATATATCTCATTAGTTTTGGAAAAAATAATAATTCTGTTTTTCATCAATATATTGTCAAATACAGTAGAATTGGTAGAAAATTATTTATCTGTGACAACACTATTAAACACATGTCAAAATCAAAATGGCCGCGAAGCAACAAGCTGTACGTGTGACACGAGTAAGTGTTTTATTTATTTTTTTACTTTTTGGCTCGAAACTTGGCAATGTTTTGTCTGTGCTTTGATGTAAAGAATATTCAGCATTCAATTAGTGCATGTTTACGTAGCTACCTAAACACTATCTCACGCATTTGATAAAAGAATTGAATGTACATTGCACTGCACGCTGCCAATGACACGCTGAAGTACTCACCGTAAACTATGGTAACCACACTGTACATTGCCAGGTTTACGAAGTATTTGGATTTTGATTGTTTTGGGGTATTTGCTTGTTATTTTTGTAATGTTTTGACAGAAGGTGTTGGTTTTGACTTTTGTTTTTTTTTATTTTGTCTGCAGAATTTAAAACTAACTCGCTCGCACAAAATCTTGGCTTTGGTTCCTGAAAAAAATGCTTGTTCTGAGGGTAGTTCTTCGTCCGATGAAGAAACCAACGTATATATACCACCTTCTCCAGATACCTCTGATCCACCTTCGCTAGCGTCTTCGCTTGAGGGCCTCAATTTACTAGATAGCTCGACTGAATCCAATAAAGAGCAGATTGATATCTCTGTAGATGCACCTCTGACGCCAATATTCAACGAAGTTTTTCCATCACCGACTACAAGCAACTACAACATTTTACCTACACTGAACTCCATACAGTCTTTACCAACCCCAACCGTTGAACAATCGTCTCCTCAGCCCGGCACTAGCCGACAACAGTTGCCACTTACCAGGTCTAAGCGTAAGAAGACAACAAGGAATGCAGTGACCAAAAAAGTTGCGGTCAAGAAATTTGTTCTAGATTATCATTGGTCCAAATCAGTATTCCGTCATAGTGCTTGTCTCGAAGAAAACCTATACGACCTCCATCAAACAGATATTGATACAGCCCTGGACTATTTTTACTACTTTTTTTCACCTGATATAATTACTGACATTGTTCATAATACAAATTTATACTCAGTGCAACAACTAGGGCGATCTATACAGTTGACAGAAGATGAGATAAAAAACTTTCTAGCCATTCAAATGTTAATGGGTATAGTACATATGCCAGCCTATACAGATTATTGGGGTAAAAGGACAAGATACCCTCTCATTGCTGATCTTATGCCTCTCAAAAGGTATCAACAAATACGTCGGTACCTTCACTTTGCTAATAACACCTTAGAAGATTCAGACCGCTACTTCAAAATTCGTCCCGTAATGGAAAGAATACGGCAAAACTTTTTGAAAGTTGAAGAAGAAGGAAAATATTCTATAGACGAGATGATGATACCTTATAAAGGTCGTAAAGCAGGTAAAAGGAAGCAATATGTAAAAATGAAACCCAAAAAATGGGGATTCAAGAATTTCGTGCGTGCGGGAGTTTCGGGTATTATATACGATTTTCTTCTTTATGGTGGCGATGACACGTTTCGTGGACTGACATTTAGGGACAAAGAAGCTTCAATTGGTTTGGGGGGCAAAGTAGTGATTGCATTGTGCCAAACTATAAGGCAAAAGCCGGCCATTATTTACGCCGATAACTTTTTCATGTCACTTGAACTAACGCACATACTGCGAGAAGAGTACGGCATTCTAAGTCTCGGTACTATAAGGACTAATCGTTTACGAGGGTGTCAGGAATTATTGCCAACGGACCAACAAATGAAGAAGAAGAAACGTGGTTCTAGCGCTCAAGTTGTCTGTAATAAAAACAAGCTGGCGGTGGTGAAGTGGAACGACAATAAGGTCGTCACACTTATTAGCTCTTATATAGACTCGCACCCCATCGAAACTATCAAGCGATATGATAAAGATGAGAAAAAGAAGGTACATGTAGAATGTCCCCAAATTGTAAAACATTACAATAAACACATGGGTGGGGTAGATTTGGCGGACATGCTAATATCTTTATATAGAACCCCCTTTAAAAGTCATCGTTGGTATTTAGGAATATTTTCACAACTTATTGATATGTGTATTAATAACGCTTGGCTTTTGCATAAACGAGATGGGAAAAATATTATGTTAAAGGATTTTAGATTTCAATTGTTCGAAGGATTGACTAAATCAAATAAAATAGTAAAAGGTATAAACGCCACAGAAGACATAGGCGAGGATCTAAAAATCCATAAACCAGTCTCCGTTCGTCCAACAGATAGCGTCCGATTCGATGACAAGGGTCATCTTCCAGAAGCAGGGGATGAAACAATGCGTTGCAAGTACTGCAAAAGTGGTAGGACAACTGTCTTCTGTATAAAATGTAACGTGCATTTATGTTTTGTTGTGGGAAAACAAAAACGTAATTGCTTCCGTAATTTTCACACAAAATAATTAAGATTTTTTAATATTTCATCCTTTTCATTACAATAAATATACAATTTAAATTAAAAATGTATTTTATTATCAACCTGGCAATGTCCATCACAATGTACAAACAATATAATATCGACATTTGGGCATAATTGGCAGTGTGCATTGTGATGTACATAGTTTTTCTCGAAACCTAGGATATCTAGATTTTTTTATTTATTTTTTTCGTATCTTTTAGTCATAATTAACACCAAATATATCAAAAAAGTACATATTTTAAAGATTTTTACTTCCTGCCACGTTAAGGGTTAATAGGTTATTTAGTTTCTCAACTTTTGCTGATGATATTAATCTGTAAAATTGATTGCGTGGTTGGCGCGGTGACTGGGCAACTGGCTGCTACACATTGTGTCGCGGGATCGATTCTCGCACGGCACAACTCTTTGTGTGATCCACGAATTGTTGTCCCGGGTCTGGGTGTGATTTGTATGTGAAATGGTATGTTTGTAAACGCACCCACGACATAGGAGAAAATCCTAGTGTGGGGCAGTGTATTAAAAAACAACATTATAATAGGATGTATAGTTTTTAAAATTTTGTCATTTCTTGCAAATGATATCAATCTGTAAAATATGCCATTGAGTGCAAACGTCGATAAGCATAGACCACATTGATACCTTTCCTTAAAAAATAGGAGTTTATAAAAAGACAAATTGCTTGATTGTACCTTTCGATATAAAAAAATATTTTCGCTTACCTGCAAAATGGTCTAACGCAAATGGAATTCAAATTCACATCCGGTGTGTAGCAATGAGTTATAGAAGAAATATATAAAACATTGTACATATATGACATGAATAATTTAGGTAATGTTATTAAAATATTATCTAACAGAAAAATATTTTCGATACCTACCTATATATGTATATATCTTATTATGCACATATTATGTCTCCATGCTGCAATATGATCTATTGAATCCAGTTACACATCAGAGAAAAAGAAATTACTGTTATATAAAAAGTGATAGATACTATGTGATTTATATAATTTTACTGCACGGTATGGTATGGTAGCTGAGCAACTGGCTGCCTTGCAACGTGTCGCGGGTTCGATTCCCGCTCGGAACAACTCTTTGTTGATTAACAAATTGTTGTTCCGGATCTGGGTGTATGTAACATTGTATGTTTTTAATAAACATCCATTTTAATAAATAAAATGTGAAAATCATTTTTTTAATTTACAATATTCAATGTTTTCCTCTAAAATATTGCGTGCTCTTTTAAATAGACTATAGACTAGGACTGCATTAGTCATTTGTTCTACGAAAAGCTTGATTTGTTAAACAAATAGATAAGAATGGTTCAGAGTTTTGCGGCGGCTTTTGAAGCTTTTTTTATACTTATTGTTGATTATTTTACAAGCGGATAAAGAATCTATGTGGGTTACGGTTCTATTTCTTCTTACATAGTACCTATATTTGAAGTGTAGGCGAGACAGGCGAATTGATAACACGGTCTCATAGAATACCGACTAAAATAATTACGCTTACGTTGTGTTTTGAGGTGTGGATGAGGTTACCGGAGGCCCAATCTTCCCCCCATCCCCAATCATCAAATCTCTAACAACCCATAAAAGGCCAAAGGTATGTCCATGTGCGGTATCGATTCTGCTTTCTATCAGGGGAAATAAGGGCTCGTTTGCCGAACTATCCTAAAAAATCTAACCAACATATTTATTGGTTTATTCTTTCACAATGGAGGTTTTTATGATAAAAAATTTATCGAGTTAGTAAGAAGGCCGTTATTTCATTGTAACTTTTTTTCCTATATGTTTGACTTGTTAATTAAAAAAAAAAAAACTAAAAAAGAAAACGTTTGAATGAACTATACGAAGTACGTTTTTAATTGAAATTTACATACGCTTTGAGACGCTTCGTTGCAAATCGGCATTCAGTGATATTTTCACAATAAGTAACACGTTTGTACACGGTTAGTCGGTATTTACTATTTACTCAACGGATTATCCAAGTTAAGCAAGGCTCCAAGGCTTAGCTTATGTGCCCAATGCATTTGTGGAGTCCAAGGTTCATCAGCCACTATATTTTAATGATCTACGAATGTATTGTTGGTTTATGATCTTTGTGTGAATAACGCAATAGTAGGTAGGTAGCTTCCTACAAAAAACCTGATGGTAAGCAATTAGCGCCGCCTGCCACGAGTGCGTTGCCGATCTTTTAGGGATTAGGGAGTTGGAGATTTAGGGATTGAGAAGGGATTGGGGAAGAGGAAGGATTGGGCCTCCGGTAACCTCACTCACACGGCGAAACACAACGCTGTGGTTATTTCACGCCGGTTTTCTGTGAGGCCGTAGTATTACTCCGGTCGAGCCGAACCATCCGTGCCGATGCATGGCTCTCCCACACTTATATTATATGATATAATACTGATTTGACAACATTTTCATTAATATGTTTGTTCATTTTCCAGATGCAAACAATTCTACATCACAACGGCAGTGGGAACTTGGCATACACCGGCAGATTGAAGAACAGAGAAGTACATCGAGCCATCACACTACATCCTGTGAAGGACCACAGACAAATGTACAGGATACATTCCTATTTTAAGGTAAGATTTTCCTTATTTTCTTTTATCAATTTAGCAGTGTTTCTCTTCTCCAAAGAGCTAGTTAGAGGACTGACATCGGCATCGTCATTATCATAATCCTATAACTGCCCGCAACTGAGCAAAGTCCTCTTCTCACACGGAGAAGGTTTGAGCATCACTACGCTAGCTCAGCGAATTTAAACTTATAATTAGCAGTCCAGGTTTCCTCTACATGTAACCTTTATCCGTGTGTATAGAGCAGTGTCTTCAGAAAAACTTGGAACTGCAATTTCTAATCCGATTTCCATGCGGAGGAGGAGGCTCACGGACCTGACTGTCATAGGTCGTTGATGTTTGACGGGAAAATATTGTACAACTTTTTTTTAATTAATTACAATTCGTTTTGAAACTTATTTTAGTAGGATTTTGTTCCTAGTCTTGGGTTTCCAGAACGCAGTTTTAGTGTGTTGCTTTTAACATATTTACAGCTTTTCTAATAAAGATTTATTCACTTCTTATAACAGATTCATAACTAACAAAATCGAAATTTGACAATTCTCGGGTTATAAAAAGTTAAAACCGTTGCGAAAATAGTATGAAATGTTAGACGAGAGTTAATACCGTCCATGGACCTTGTGTAATGTGTGAATAAGTTTAGTTTTTTGTGGCAACATCTTACAATGTATCTGAAAGTAAATATTTCAGAAGTTCGACGTTCCCGGTCGTTGTACCCACGTGTAAATGAATGTTTTAGTTTATTTTCGCTGGTTTCCTAGTAATTGTTTGAAGATGATTTAGTTGTACTTGTTCAGTTATTGTTTTGGACTAGTTTTGTGTATAGTGCCTTTCGACAGGAATGCTCTGCGTTTCTCTATTTGTGTTACATGTGATTAGCTTCTGGTAGTGGCTTCGCTCCCGTTTCTCTGATGAAAAGTTGTAGTCTAAGTGATAATTTGGATTATAATCTATCTTTGTGCCGATTTCCATCAAAATCCATTTAGTAGTTTTATGTGAGAGAGGAAAACCTTTAATTTCTTCGTACCTTAACGTTTAAGTACGTAATACTAGTAGAATGTAGTGATTGTAACGAACGGGTATTGAATTGTCAATTTTCGTATCTATAAGTAGTTACAAAATTATAAAGAGTATAACATGTAAGTTTGTATGTAGAGGGTAATCTTTGGAACTGCCGATCGGCTTTCCAAAATTCACTGTTTGATACAATGCTATAGCTATAGGCTACAAATTATACTTAATTTTCGTATTTTAGTCGAGCCATCGCTTCAGACGCTGATGTTTTTAAAATACCGGGATACATTAGTTTTATATGCGTGTGAAACCGAGGGCGGAAGCTAGTTTGTAGATAAATTTTAATGGCTTAAGTTATCAGCGAATATAGGGAAGCATAATTTCTTTATGATCGAAATACAATTACCGTAATGTTTTTAAACTAAATAATATGATAATTTAACAAATCATTTAACATTTGATTTTAATAGAAAAACAATCTGTATTTTTTTTGTTACATTTTTTCTTTTTGACACAAGACCCCTATACTAATTTACTTGGTTGGTCTACTATCTCCGGGGTATTATGAATTTACAAGGGTATTTATACTAATAATCGTACTGGGATTGTCTCAATTTTTGTTATACATGACAATGTATGAGTTACAATATTTTTTTTTTTATTTAACTTGTACCGAGAGTAAATTTGACAAACAACGGAACGAAGTATACAGCCTACTTTTCAAATCTGCAAAGGCTAGTCCTTAAAAGATAAATAATTTGCAGTTTTTAAAACAACCGAGGTAGCCTTGATGGTATAGCTATGTACATCTGGTAATGCTTTGTAGATTACAGGCATATTGTTTATATAATGTCTACCTTCGAACTTGTATAGAAATACTCATGTTATTTTATGGTCAATAATAAACAGTAGCTAGTTATGATGTTAACGTCAAGTTTGTCTGTTCGTATGGCCGTGAACGGAACATATTATTTGCGGCGCAATACTCACAGATTCACGATAACCTTAGATACGTATAATTTCGTGTATACTAAGTTTAGATTAATTGCTAAAAATAACCTTTGTTTAACGATAATTCTTTTATCAAATTAATTATTATATTTAATGGCTTGCTCATGTAACTCTTTGACGAGGAATTCGACAATTTCAAGCCGTGCTAAGGTCTCATATTCATGAGGAGAACTTTTATTAAGTACTTGCAATTTGCTCGCGTTCTTAGGGAACTACTTCCCGTACACGAATAAAATATAGCCTATAACACTAAGGAACATTGGTAGCTATCTATCAGTCAAGAATTTCGGAAATCATAAGAGCAGTTCAAAAGATTACTTCCTACAAACAAATTAACAATTACCTCTTTATAATATTAGTATAGAAAACAGGAACATTCTTATGTCAAAGTCTGTTTATAAGTCCATGTTTTTTTGTGTGATAAGTCAGCAAACGAGCCGACGGATTACCTGATGGTAGCAATCAGCGCCGCCCATGGACAACCGCAACAACAGACGAGTTACGAGTGCGTTGCCGACTTTTTGATGAATAAGGATTGGGGAGGGATTGGGGGGAGGCGAAACACAACGTAAGTGTTGCTTCACGCCTATTTTATGTGAGGCCGTGGTATCACTCCAGACAACCCACTTGTGCTGAAACATGACTCTCCCACACTTACAATTTCATCTACGAAAACAATCTATGCCATTAAAATACTTACCTGAAAAATTTGCACTTGATAAAATTCAAAGACTTTTCTTGACAACACTTTGGCTCAGGTATTCGTTATAAACTTCACAGGACCAAACCAGATCTATGTGGAAGCTATAAATCTGCGCGTACGCACCGACCAACCTGCCTTTGATCTTCAACGTACGATTTTGCTTTTGAGTATGAATAACATCAGGTTTAGTTTGTAGTTTACAAAAATATGTATTCGACAAAAAATGCTGTATTTATGTTTTCAAATACGTAAGTGTGGGAGAGCCATGTTTAGGCGCAAGTAATAGCCGGCTCGACCGCAATGATATCACAGCTTTACAGAATACTGGCGTAAAACGGACAGGGGGCCCAATCATTCCCCCGATCCTCAATCCCCAAATCCCCTTGACTTCAATCCCGAATTATCTACGATTGCATCACTGCTTACCATCAGGTGGGATCGTAGTCAAGAGCTAGTTTATTGCAAGTAAAAAAATAAACTTGCAAAAGGCCGGCAACGCGCTTGATACTACTTTCCCTTTGGTCCTTAAGAGTTTCCATGGGCGGCGCCGATTGCTAACCAGCAGGTAATCAATTTATTAAAAGAAAAAAAAGTGATGGAACACACACTAAAAAACTTTACCCTTAACTAAGATTTACTCATCACAACTACCAGCTACAACAATTTGCGGATGACCAAAAGTATTTTCATCCAAAACTTTCAATCTTGCAGTCTAAACTAGATATATATATATATTGGCCCAGACAAATAATCCCTGAACGATAGATTGCTTTATCCATACTCCATATCAAAGGGACGAACAGACTTTTATTTTTAGCGATACGAACTTACTTCGTTATTGTTTATGAGACTTTGATTATACAGATGAGTTGTGCGCCATTTTTTTATTTTATTTTTTGTTGCTGGCTCTGGTTGAGCCGTAAACTCCAAATGGTACAGGAATTTAGTACAGGATGCACAGTGTTATTGTAATAATTTCTAAGAAACTTGATTACGATCGGTAAGGGTGTTTCTTGATCTTAATGAATGATGAAGCTATCTGACTTTGCTCCAACAGTTAGTTGTGAACGTTTTAGTAAAATTCTTTATTTCTAGCCAGCTACATATTATCATGTTAATTTCTTGCACGATTTGGCGACGACATTATTATTCTAAGCAGATTTTTTTTTGTGATTGGACTGCAAACCTGCCTGCGCATTACCTGATGGTAAATCAGCGCCGTTGCTGATCGTTTGACTTTGACTTTGGGGATTAGGGATTTTGAAATTGGGGAGGGATTGGGGTAGGAGAAGAATTATCTCAGTCAATGAAGCTTCTTGCTCATTCCAAATCAGTATTCATATTAGTCAAAACGCTAAGATTTTTTTTTAATATCTTTAGATTCTGGTCTTATGATTTTTTTACTAAGTAAAGTATCGTTGATTTTACATTGTATTCTTCTACTATAGTTCTTTCGTTAAGTTTGGTCTCTGTTATACTGACTAATAGCATAATCTAATGATGTGGCCAATTCCTGTTACTTTTTTTAAAAACTTGATTATGAAGCCATTATAAATATTTAGTTGCCAACTAATAATATTGGATAACGTATGTAAACAAGATAAAGTGGGTGCAATAAACGCATTAACATTTATATGACACGTTATCAAAATAGTTATCAGGGAATTTTAACGAATCTGTGTTCAATGCTGGCATGTATTTTTTTGTCGTATGAAGGTTTCCTGTAACGAAATAGATAGATTTAAGGTACATTTTGGCTTAGCAATTTTGATACACGTGATAATGAGATGAAATATAATTTTGTTTAGTTGCCTAAACCTTGATGTTTGAATGTAATATGTTCATAAGGACCTACTAAAGGCTTTAAATTTGCACAATATATTCCTTACTTGATTAAATCGTCAATATTATATTGATTTACAATTTAACCTCTTTTATATTTACATACACAAAATATCAACTAATTACCTACTTCCTAAGCTGCTTATATATTACTTACTGACATTTTGCTAACTTGCAATATTAATTTAAATTATTTTTATTTTTATTTCCAGAACCTTCGAATCCAAGAGCTACGGGAACGTTCTCTGGACCTGCACCGAGAAATTGCATTAGCCATGAAGGAATTGCAAGTTCCTGAGGATGAGATTGAAGACTACAAGCTGCCTGGAGACGAACCGCTGTTTCCAGCCAAGATTGGAGATCCAGAGTATCTGGGTGACAATAAAATATTAGGTAAGGTTAAAGTTTCAAATATTGATAATAAAATTAAACTTCTCTAGAGCAGCTTTCCACTAGATACGACGTTCTAGGGGTGTAATCATGTAATAGAAATGGACGGATCAGGTGATACTCATAAAGATCTGCTCATTTGTCTTCTATTCTATAAAAATATGGTGAACATTTCATGAATACCATTGCTATTTTCTCTTCAGGAATTTACAGTAGAATATAATTTCATTGCAGGATATAATGACAAACTGACACGTTTTAACTTCTAACATTTGATTAATAAATGTCTTTGTCTTTTGATTTAGCGAGATTTATAGATACCTTTGTCTTCATGATTCTGGTTGAATTTTTCATTCAGAAGATAAAATAGGCAGAGACTGGAATACTACTGATCAATCGGTCCAAAATCTCTGATTAAAACCTCTCATTTCTCGTTCCAGGTGCTCCATTAGACATGAACCGCTATAAACCAGATACGGTAGAAGATATAGTGCCATTTGACTTCATCAGCAAGTCTTTGTACTCAGCCAGCCACGCCAACCCTAAGAGGCGGATAGAAGGACCACTTCGGGAAGCACTCGATGACGTTATCAGAGAAGTAAGTTTGTAGTAATACCTTAATACCAATCGTAAGTACCTACTTTAAGGCAAGCCGTTTGAGAACAAGAGTTCTTCAGGAATGGCGAAATATGTCCGCTTGTCGTAAAGTAAAATTAGCGCGTTTTATAAAATAAGCTTACTAGTAATTCAATATCAGGGCCCAAAAATAAGGTCCTATAGTTGGAACAAACTTCCTTCAATAGGTTTTCTTTGTACGGGTAATTGAATATCATTGTTAATCGGTAGATAGGGAATAATTTTTAAACCTCAACGAAAACAAGCGTACTCTATCTTAAAAGGCCGGCAACGAACGCATTAGTGAATCCTCCAGAGATGTGAGTGTGGTCTCTTCTTTAAAAAAACATCGTTACGAACAGCAGTTTCACTAACCATGCAAATCACTGATCTTACTATCCTTTTATAATTCCAGGTGATGGAGATAATAAACGCGCCCTCTCGTCAGCGAGGTCGAGTTATAGACTTCAATGAGTTACTATACGGGTACACTCGGCTGCAGCCGCTGCATGGAGCTGATCATGTCCTGGACCTGCTCCTCAAGTACCGTCGCTACAGGGGACGCAAGATGACTGCTGCAGTTCGGCGACACGCTTACCTGCAACAAAGTTTTACCAGTAAGTTCTTTGAAGATTACTTAAAATGAGAATTTTTAATTAATATTTTAACATCACAACGTAAAATTTTAACAACAATCTGCTTTTCGCTATAGTCTCATGTAATATTACGATACAAATAAAATTTCCAAAACTAGTTCAGGAATCTAATGTTATCATATTTTGAGCTACTTTAATTAAATCACACCGATGTATTTCCAGGTATGGAGATTAGAGAAATACCAATGGGAGATCCACCGCCTCCTGAGGACCCAGAAGTTTTAGATGAAGCCAACAATCCCGTAGATTATGATGATTTTGATGAATCTCGTCAACAACAGGAAGGGTTCTTAGACAAATTAAATGTAAGAGAAGCGCTCGAAAGTGGCCTAATGAAGTTGCAGAACTTACCGAAAGTATTGAATTGGGGTGATGATGGTTCTGAAGAGTACTCGGTATACGATAGAAGGATCCACTTTATAATGCCTTTGTCCGGTAGACAAGAAACGTTCGGAAGATTCATGAAAAATTACGAAGATATCGTCCTGAAGACTAATGAGGCTGTGTCACTAATAGTTGTACTGTACCTAGATACTAGTAATCCTCTAGACTATAAGAGCACTGAGGACTTAGTCAACTTCTATGTTAGTACGTACGGTAAAGATATCAGGACAGTGCTCATGGGTACGGAAACGTTCTCAAGAGGTGCAGCATTAACGGAAGGACTAAAACTCTGCTCACCTGATGATTTAGTTTTCTTTATAGATGTAGATATGATGTTTAATTTTGATACCCTCAGAAGAATCAGGATACACACTATCAAGTATCATCAAGTATATTTCCCGGTAGTGTTCAGTGAGTACAATACTGAAGTGGTTAACGGTGATGATTACAATAAATTGTTGGGTGAGAAAATCGAAGAAGAACCTACTATAGATGAGGCTGAAGTAGAAGAAGAGCCAGTGGAAGAGGTAGAAAAAACTGAAAAGGAATTGATTAATTTAAAGTATAGCAAAGATATAACTAACGACAACGGTTATTTCAGGCAGTATGGTTTCGGTATTCTAGCTATATACAAGTGTGATTTTGAACGCGTTGGAGGATTTGATTTAAAAATCAAAGGCTGGGGAATGGAAGATGTCCAAATGTTCGAAACCTTAATAAAATCTAATTTAACTGTATTTAGGGCAGCAGATGCGAGCCTTGTTCATATCTTCCATTCAGTGGCTTGTGACAAAACTTTGGAGAGACCTCAATTTTTAATGTGTCTTGGCACAAAAGCCTCCACATATGGGAGTGAAAAACAAATGATTAACTATATGATAAATCATCCTGAAGTGATGTGGCCTCCAGAACAGGATGTCGAAGAAATCGAGAAAAAAGCAGAAGAAGAAAAAAAGGCTGAAGAAGAAAGAAAAGCGGAAGAACAGAAGAAAATTGAAGCTGATAAGAAGGCTGAAGCCGAGAAAAAAGCTAAAGCTGAGGCAGAAAAGAAAGCTGAGGCGGAAAAAAAGGCTGAGGCAGACAAGAAGGCAGAGGCTGATAAAAAGGCCGAAGCTGACAAGAAAGCTCATGCTGACAAAAAAGCTGAAGCCGACAAAAAGGCCGAGGCTGCCAAAAAAGCCGAGGCTGACAAAAAGGCCGAGGCTGACAAGAAAGCCGAGGCAGATAAAAAAGCGTCAGAAGAGAAAAAAGGTGCTAGATAGTACAGGGTTTAATATACGGTCTAGATATTCGGTGCAAAGAACTAAGTAAAGTAATTAATGATTTGTATAAATATGAGTACGAATTCTAGTATTTTAATATTTTTGTTGTCCTTTTCTGTACATATTTATTTAGAAAAGGTAGTCCTTCGTAGTAAGATATAAATTATAAGAGATTTTACAATTTTTATCTTAAATAAGGATATTTAGGTGAACTTAAATTGACGCAAAATAAATTAAAATTTCGAACGAATACTTGTTTATTTCAAAACTAATGTGATTTAGTATTAAGATACATTTCGTGTATAAATAAGTTTTCTAGAAACTATTTACATTGCTGGCTTTATCTTGCGTCAAAATTATTCGTAAACAAATTATTCTTGTATATTTTATCCTACTCTCTCAAATGATTCCATGTTTGTAATGATGCATTTATTTCTATTTTATCTTACTTAGTACGATTTTATTTATTTATAATCTTTAATCGATTATTTTACTCTCTTATTAATATCCCATTTACAATTTATTGGAACAAGAATACCTTATAATATACTAGGTATCGATTTTATTCTATTTGTAGTAATTTTAAAGCAAGGTATATTTTTCCTACGAATCGTACCTCACTTAAGTGTAGTTGTAAGTAATTCAATGGAATTGTTATACAAATTAAATGAACTTCATGTACAAAGTGACGGTACATTTTGGTGCGGAAAACGAAACGTTATAAATACTTTTAAAAAAGTATAATAATTTTGTTCCTATTAAAACAAAATATACTATATAAATAAATGTAAACCTTATTAATTTAGCTGTATGATGTGTTATACAGTCTGTGTTTCTATCCAATATTTATTATGTTAATCTTCTCTATTACTTTAGTCCAAAACTATAATTTTTCGAAATTGTATGCATGTTTTAAATGGAAAAAAACCTATACCATGGTACTCTGTACTTCGCCGAAAGCACAAAGAAATTGGCTGGCCAATATTGTACGCTAGCGGTAATATCACTGAGAATATATTAGTATTAAACATCTAAGACCTGTACGGGTTGAGTTAGGGCTTAAACAAGTCACACAATAGCATAATAACCTAGTTTAATTAGTATCAAGTCACTGCCAAGTTGCATTAACACCTTTTTTATACGCTCCGGTCTTTGGCTAACCGACTCCGGCTACCTGCCCCTAAGTTGTACCGAAAATTTTAACGTACATTGACTGCCTAATACCTGGCTCTGGATCTGGTTCGTGTAAAAAGCCACTAAGACCTCGTTTATAGCGTCGCGGTGCGATGTATACATTGCTTGTAATGTTCGTGTATGAGGAAGCGATGACGCTACCCATTGCAGAAACGTATGACGAACAACCCAAAATTCCTAAGACTAAGTTTCAGCTTCAAGTGAATTTTATTCTTTTGTAAATTATTTTCCTTCATTTGTCAACTGTCCATGTCATGCAGAATACTCGAAAACTTTGGTTGTGACAAGCTTATTTATCGTTTGAATAGGCTTACGTTCGGAATAGGCAATACCACTTAATGGCAATATTACTTACTTTGTTATTAATTTAGGAGGAATGTTGAGCATGACGTAGTGATGCCAGGTATCGCGGACTTATGGCTAGATATCAAGCTATAAAACACCAGTATTAACAGACCTTTAGACGTATGAAAAGATTATGGAAAGTGTGATCATGGTTATACTGGTTAGTATAGCTAGATGTGCACGTAAAAGTATACAGCTACACAATTAATATTTCACACACCTATGAAGGCATAATTAATTTTGAAATTCTCTTAAGTTTGAGTAGTTTTTCTGTAATTTGGCTTCAACATAATTTTCAAACATTTAAAATTCATCTTTATTCTTACTAGGCACAAAAGCACGATTTGAATGCGTTGCCGAGAGTTGAGTCCATCGCCTGGCATCATACGACAGAGATTCGTCTTTGATTCCAACCCAGTTCTCTATCATAATATGTTTAACTAAGTATTATTTTTAAATAAATGTAAATAATCATGTACATTGTTTATATTGTGCTCACTAAGTGCCAATCCTTAGTAATTTAAGTAGAACAATGAAGTAAAATGAAAACGTATGTATGTCAAATATATGTATGTATGTATGTATATCGAAATAATTTCATGTTGATATTATAATATGAACAAATTTGAAATTGCATTGTGATTTGAAAGTGATGAAATTAATTGAAATAGTATCGAAAATAAATATATTTTGTGATGATATATTTTTGTAGTTTTATTGTAATTGTTATTATAAAGGCTTTTATGATTTGATGAGTCGAGCTTAGCATCGTTGGTACTCAATGTAATGCCGGCCCGCCTCAGGATAAGGAATGGGAGGCTTTTCTTGTCCGTTTGTCACTCCCTCGTAAATTTGATGATTTCATTCATCATTCCCCCAGTCATTCTAGATTATGGGCTATTTGATTAATAGCAAAATGTCAAGTCAAAGTAATATCTCATCCTTCTAGTTAATGTATGATGACGGATAACAAAAAACTAATTATGCCACCACCCCACGTTTGAACCTGAACGAGTTTTAGTAAACATGAACCTTGCAAACTAAGGTCTTCCATCTTCATGAACATAACGAAGAAACAGACAGATATAACAGCCAGGGTTGCAGGGCAAGCGCAATGAGGCGCCGCGGCCTCGGCCTAGAGCAGAAGAAGGAACGGAGGGGTTTTTAGTCAGTAAGACTCCGATACTGGGCGGGAGAAAATCTACATTTGATGATTTTCCCCTCACAAAAAAATACATTGTTCAGCAGGGGTTTGTCATGAGTTGAATCTAACCTGCCTGCCCTACCCAGACCAATGTAAAGAACACTTTATCGAAGTGACGAAACAACCATTACACATCAACAAACAACAAGTAAAATGCTTATATTAGTTAGAAGATATAAATGTCGGTGCCACACTCAGACTCAAGTGCCACTTAAAGATACGTAGTGACCAAAGCACATACACGAATACTTTAGAAAGTTCACTATTTGTATTTCAAATTGGATTTAAGAAGTTTATTTATACTGTTCATGTAAATTAACATTGAGAGATTGATTCGAAGTTGTTTTTACTTATATGTGTGTGTGTGTGTTTTTGAATGTGATACATGAATATGAATATGATGCATGAAAGCTGACAGAATAAAAAACAAATCCATCAGACACAAAACCAAGGTGCAAGACGTAACAATAAAAATAAAGAGATTAAAGTAGAAATGGGCAGGTCACTTGATAAGAGGCAAAGAAAAATGGAGCCAAATTGTTACTCAGTGGTACCCAAGAGATGGTCATACATTGAGAGGAAGACCTAATAAAAGATGGGATGAGGAGATTCGGCAAGTAGCCGGAATTACATGGCTCAGAGTGGCAAACGAAAAATCAGAATGGAGAAGGTTGGAGGAGGCCTATGCCAACTGGCAAATGGATCTGCAAAGAACTGGTAAAATACAAATTTGAAATGGGCCCCCGGAAACGGCCGCTAGCACGTAGCGACAAGGGGGCAACATACGTTGAGCTGCTTGGGGAAGGAGGGGCATGCCATGGCTATCAGAGCAATCCCGGAAGTACGGTCAAGACCCCTACCAGCATCTTACTGAGATACATCCTTCCCCCGAGTCTCCTTCAACTCCTACTCAAATCTCCACTCAAGCCAGCCAATTAAGGCAAGAATGAGGTGGGAGGGCTTGTTCTTCATCAGTGTTCACTCCAGCTCGTCATGAGGACTAACCGGAGGTGAAAAACAAGACACCTCCCGGGAGTCAGGTCCGTGGAGTCGCCACTGCCCAACAGCTCGCCACAAGCTGCCTTGCGATTATTATTATTACATGAATATAGCAGGTACCTAGGTACTAAGCGTTTGTAGTGGATGTAGTAGTACCAGGAGTCCAGGATCTAACCAGCCAGGGTGAAATGCATGTCAGTCAGTCATGGTGGTTTTTTGTAAGTTGGAGTCTAACACTCCCCTAGGCAGGACCTAACCCGAGCCAGAGAAGTCATTCGATGATTCCAGCAGGAATGGGTGTCTTCAATGCGCAAGTGAGATGGTTGCGTATGGGTTGTGCTCCATCGTAAGCTTATGTGTAAATGATTTTCTGTGTTTGAATACTTATTTTATTTAGTAATGCCGAAACGGCGTCAATATTTTTATAGTCCCGAGGCAAGGACGCGTGGAGGGTCAGTGCTGAAAACCAGCGCTGTTGTATCGTGCCTGCGTGCGCGAGACACAGCATTTATGCTGAGCGCTGCCCTTTTTCACGCATGAGTGACGCAATTTTAGTGCTTTTCTTTTTTTTTTTTTCTCTTTTATGTTCATTGCTTGTTTTGTCCCTATTTAACTATATTCGTGTATGTTTGTTTCTTGCGTCATTTGTGTGTGAAATAAATGGTTTTTCTTTCTTTCTTTCTTTCTTCTTTCTTTCTTCTTACCACCAGGCGTGGAGCGGTCTGCCTATAACGAAACTAAAATAAATAAGTTGGGCTCAGTGAAAACGCAACACTAGTTTTCAGTTGGTTGTTGACTGGTTTATTACCCTAATCTACCCTTATATTTTACGCTGCTTCTTCAGTTCCTCACTGGTACGGAAAAAGCAACGTAAAAAATATAATGGTACTTACTGCTTTGGGTCCATCGATGGCTGGTCACCGTTAGGGTACATTCCTTGTTCTGAGGAATGAGATTGAGATTATTTTAGGTTTTATTTTGAAGTTTCTCATACCATCACACTTATATCCTCGTCAAATTACAGAACGTATTAAGAATATATCGTTATATAATGTGGATAAAAAATATCAATCCACATGTACTACGTAAAGTTGTAGTAGTATTGTGTAAATTTTTAATTTAATCTTATTTATTGTAACGCATTATTCTTTCGTCTAGAATTTCACATTGGTATTTAAAATCAACTCCTTAAAGTTCTAATGTTATGAAGTCCGCCTTACGCATCTTTCTTCATCATATTATTTGCAATAAGTAATACATTATTAAATTATTTCACATTACCTTTATGTAGTATAATATTACGCAAATTAAGAGCTTTGCTAGATTGCGGTTGCAAGATTTAAAACAGATTGAGATAATTCTATTATGAAAAATATCTATCTTATAAATCCATAACTGTTTGAAAATTACACAATAAACGTTTGAAACCTTTGCAACATTGTTGTTAATGACCAAAATATAGACAGAGGCACATTAAACTACACTTAATTCCTTGAATCGATTAAAACCTTAATTTCAGTGGTCATAAGGTTTAAAATCCTATAAAGGTTTTCGACAGATTTGACGATGTCGATCTGCTGTCATTTTGTAATGTCTCAACTATGATCATTAATCATCTTGCTATAGATAAGTGTATACTACACAATAAGTGGCAATTATCTCCTACCTGTACCACTTTCATTACGAATAAATAACATAAGTTACATGTTAACAAATAACATTAAAATTAATAACATTAATTATCTGTTATTCCCCTAAGGGTTAGACAGACACCATAAATATATATGTATATTTATCTTTGCCAGTGGCGTTGCCTAGCCGAGCCTATGTGTTATTCCAAACTTTAATCTATTTCTGTACCAATATTCATTCATTTCAATTTCAATTCATTGAGTAGTTTTTGAGTCAAAGTGTCACACCGAACCCGAAACAGCAATAAAATTTGTGTATCACAAAATACTATGATAAATGTTCCGTGCGCGAATCGAACCTTCGATACGTAGCGCAGCAGTTGATTGTCTGGGCACTAAGGTAGGACCTGTGCAGAGAGCGCAGTCAACGTCAAGTTAGTCATTTCTGGTTTTGTATATATTTCTAAACATGTTTTTCTTTGTGAAACAAATGAGCAGACCTATCACTTGATGGTGAACAACCGGCGCTGATCATGGACATCCATAACACCGGATTTATAACAGCGTGTTTGAGTTGTTTAGGATTTGATGGTTTTGGGATTGTGGACGAAGAGGTAAAGGACCTTCGGTAACCTCGCTTACATGACCAAAATACAAATACAATACACGCCAACATTGTTTTTCCGAGTTGGCTGAGTTACGACTTAAGATTTCTAAGTACCCACGAATAATTCAGCGGGGTTGCGGTAGGGTTTTTATGCCCGGTTCCTATAATTGAGAAACGATCCGTTTTAGTTACGAATAGTAGTTTTATATACGACTCGTAAGCTAAAACCGTTCCTATAACAAACGTCTCGTCGTGCAACTTACTGACGGTTTGCAACTAACGGATATCGGTAAGCGAATTGTATGGAGATCTATGGTGTCTGTGGTGTTCCTATAAATATTTTAACCGTCAGTAGACGGTCAAGATAACTATTCGTAATGTCATTTGGTCGTAATGCGTATACAACGACGATTCGTTAAATATAGGAACCGGGCATTAGTCAGTAAGATTCTGACACTCTTTCGTCCACCCGAAAAAGTCATATGATGTTTTTTCCCAGTGAAAAAGAAACAATTGCCTACGTATCCATGTCAAAGGCCCATAGGTAACAAGATGGTGCTAGATGATATCAGTCCCACAATCCGTCACCTCATTATGTAAGTAAGTATTCGTGAGATGTATATAAGACGAGCAGCTTACATAAAACGTTCAATTAATTCTGTAAGCAGATAAACATTCGATTTCTCTTCGAGTTGGTATTAATCCTTTGCGGTGCGTTTGAATTCCT